TGGTGAATCCTTTTCAAAAGGTTTTTAATTTGCTTTTCCAAGAACCATCAGATAAATCACTCTTTATTGCAACTATAGCTTACAAAATGTAATTCTTAAATAATAAGACTTGAAAGTCAAAGTGACTCTTTGATCAGTAGCTGCAGAATGAGTGTTGTGTTATCAGCAGGAATGAAAAAAAACATTAATCCCATTGTATATCTCCATCAAGGCTCTTGGGTGACCAGGTGCATTTGCTTTTCCAAGAACCATCAGATAAATCACTCTTTATGGCAACTATAGCTTACAAAATGTAATTCTTAAATAATAAGACTTGAAAGTCAAAGTGACTCTTTGATCAGTAGCTGCAGAATGAGTGTTGTGTTATCAGCAGGAATGAAAAAAAACATTAATCCCATTGTATATCTCCATCAAGGCTCTTGGGTGACCAGGTGCATTGCTGATGAGCAATCATATTTGAAAGGGACATTTTTTCTGAGCAGTAGGTCTCAACAGTGGGCTTAAAATAATTGGCAAATCATGCCGTAAACATATGCTGTCATCTGGGCTTTGTTCTATTTATAGAGCATAGGCAGAGTAGATTTAACATAATTCTTAAGGACCTTAGGATTCTCAGAGTGGTAAATGAGCATTGGCTTCAGCCAATGGTAAATAGAGCTACATTGGCTCTATTGAGAGAGTCAGCCTGTCCTTTAAAGCTTATAGCCAGACATTGACTTCTCTCTAGCTATGAAAGTCCTAGATGGCATCTTCTACCAATATACAGCTGTTTTGTCTGCATTGAAAACCTGTTGTTGTTTAGTGTGGTCACTTTAATTATCTGAGATCTTCTGGATAATTTGTTGCAGCATCTATAGCTGTTTTACCTTGTACTTCCATGTTATGGAGACAGCTTCTTTCCTTAAACTGCGTGAACCAACCTTTCTGGCTTAAAACTTTTCTTCTGCAGCTTCCTCTCCTCTTAGCCTTTATAGAAGTGAAGAGAGTTAGGGCCTTGCTCTGGATTAGACTTTGGATGAAGGGAATGTTGTGGCTTGATTGATCTTCCATCTAGATTACTTAGACTTTCTCCATATCAGCAGGAAGGTTGTTTCACTTTCTTACCATTCATATGTCCACTGGAGTAGCACTTTTAATTTCCTTCAAGAACTTTTCTTTTGCATTCATTCACAGCTTGGCTGTTGGACACAAGAGTCCTAGATTTTGGCCTATCTCAGCTTATGACATGCCTTCCTTCTAAGCATAATCATTTCTGTCTTTTGATTTAAAGTGACAGATGTGGGCTCTTCCTTTCACTTGAATACTTAGACGTCATTATAGGATTATTAACTGGACTGATTTCAATATTATTGTATTTCAGGGCCTATGGAGGCCTGAGAAGAGGGAGAAAGATGGGAGAGTGGCCATTTGGTGGCAGTCAGAACACATACAACATTAAGCATTAAGTTTGTCATCTTAATATTTGTGTGGTTCATGGCACCCCAAAACAATTACAATAGTAACATCAAAGTTCACCAATGGTAGGTCATCATAACAAATATTATAATAATGAAAAAGTTTAAAGCATGGCACATAGACATGAAGTGAGCAAATGCTGTTGGGAAAATGGCGCCAATAGACTCACTTGATGCAAGGCTGCTACTAACCTTCAGTTTGTGAAAAATGCAGTATCTGCAGAATGCAATAGAACAAAGCGCAATAAAATGAGGTATGCCTGGAGTATCAAAGAAGAATACATACAATATACACAATATTCCAACTACATATCTGGTGAGGTCCACTTCTCTTTATAAACATCAACCAAAAGAGCATATCACAATAGATTGAATTCAGAAAGAGATGTGACACTCTAGCTGTCTTCCATTGTCAGGCATTAAAGAGTTATGTGAAAATGTAACAACTTCCATTACAGAAGTTTTTATTTTTGAAAAATAGTTACTTTTCGACAAGAAACAACAAATGCTGGTGAGGATGTGGAGAAAGGGGAAACCTCCTGTACTGCTGGTGGGAATGTAAACTAGTTCAGCCATTGTGGAAAGCAATATGGAGGTTCCTCAAAAAACTAAAAATAGAAATATCATTTGACCTAGGAATTCCACTCCTAGGAATTTATCCAAAGTAAACAAGATCTCAGATTCAAAAAGACATATGCACCTCTATGTTTATCACAGCACTATTTATAATAGCCAAGATATGGAAGCAACCTAAGTGTCCATCAGTTAGATGAATGGATAAAGAAGACGTGATACATATACACAATGGATTATTATTCAGCCATAAAAAGAAAACAAATCCTACCATTTGCAACAACATGGATGGAGCTAAAGGGTATTACGTTCAGTGAAATAAGCCAGGTGGAGAAAGAAAAGTACCAAATGATTTCCCTCATTTGTGGGGTATAACAATGAAGCAAAACTGCAGCAGCAGACTCACAGACTCCAAGAAGGGACTAGCAGTTGCCAAAGGGGAGAGGTGAGGGAGGGTGGGTGAGGAGGGAGGGAGAAGGGGATTGAGGGGTATTAAGATTGGTACACACGATGTAGGGGAGGTCATGGGGAAGACTGTAGCACAGAGAAGACTAGTAGAGACTGGCATCTCATTACGCTGATAGTAACTTCAGTGGGGTATGGGGGGACTTGATAATATGGGTGAATGTAGTAACCACAATGTTTTTCATGTGAAACTTTCATAAGAGTGTATATCAGTGATATCTTAATTAAAAAAAAATAAAAAATGCAAAAAAAAGTAAAACAGTTACTTTTCATAAAAATGTTATTTAAGCATTTCATGGGCTCATTTATGAATAAATTTTTTTAATGCTTTAGGTCTTAGTTCTATTGTCTGATCTAATATATTGACAAATATAAACCACATAAACTTAATAAGCTTATTGAGGTCCTCAAGGATTTAAAAGAGCAAAAAGAGATCCTGGCACCACATGTGTGAGCACCCCTATAGCAGAGTACTATATTCCAAATGGAGATGAAGAAAGGGTACTTGATTATTATAGCTCATTCTGCCCAAAATCATGAAGTACTGATTTAAATATTAAATGTTTTATTTAGAGACTTCTAAAGGGAAACCAAATTGCAGTTGAGATTCACTCCTATGGTCTGGGAAGACCCCAAAGCGGTCAACAAGATCCAAACAGCATCTTCTTGACACTCCTTCTGGGTGTTCTTGTTCAGCAGATGGAAACAAATGCAAAGAGGAATGGAAAAATCAGCCCCAAGTTAATGGCTGGTGAGAAAGCTAAGCACACCCATCTAGTGCGAATTATGTCACTGGTCATTTTTCCTGGGACATTTCTTTTGGGAATGAGTTGAAGGAAGAGGACGAATCACTATCTCTTTCTAAGAAACAACCAGAAGTATGACTGAAGAGGAACTGAGTGCCTAAAGAATGTCCTTGGAACTACCAGTTCTTACTCAGAAGTAACTACTAGCCTGACATATAAGGAGCCTGCAGAACAGCAGGGCAATTAGTAGGTAGTGCTCCCTGGGCAGAGAATCACCATCAGCCACTCAGCCAATAAGAAACTATTGAGGCTCTGGAAAGAAAGGATATTAGGGTTTAAATTTTCCTATAACTTAGCGTATTACCTGGCATCCATAGTATGGATCTAGATCATGATGCAAAGCACAGCCTGACCCACAGAAGTTTTTTGTTTGATTTATACAGTATTTTAAAGGTGGGAAATAGTGCACAGAAATCTAGTTTTCCAGCTCCTCATAGAAAAAAATTATGCAGTTTTCCAAAAGAGGCTTACATTCTAGTGTGATCGTAACCAGCTGGATCTGACCCATGATGCTATACACACACACAAATTATGTACCCTCCATTTGACCAGTCTATACCACTCTATTGCTTTCACACAGCCCACCTTACTTGATTTCTCTATCTAGCTCCACTAATGACTGAGTTAGAAACCCCTGACCCGGCCAGCTGTTTTATACAGAATATCTCAGCAGATCCCTCTTAATCACTGCCAGCTACGTAAAGTATAATATTGTGTATTTAAAGGTCACTAATAGAGTGGATCTTCAGCGTTCTCATCACAGGAAAAAAAATTGTAACTATGTGAGGTGAGGGATGTTAATAACTAAGATTATTGTGGTAATCATTTTATAAAATATACATATATCAAATCATAATGTTGTATGTCAATTATATCTCAGTAAAACTGAAAAATATTTTGTCCTTTTTTTTTCTTTTGTTTTTGTTTTTCTTCTTTTGTGAAAAATATTTTGGCTCTAGGATCCACAAAAGTCATATTTAAGTATGTTAATTTTTGTTCCAGGGTGCAGTCTTTTACCAGTGTGTCTATTAAGATATTATTCTTTCCTAGTAATTTATGTAAAGAAATAATCACGTGTCCAGTCAATCCTTATGATCTTTGCAGACATTTAAAAGCTTAAAGGTACTAAAACTCACTACCTTGGTTCCATTTCTTTGGTGGTATGATGGGAAATATCTTAGTACTTGAAAATTTAAGTAGCCAGGCCAGCTATCTGATTGTTCCAGATGGATTTTTTTTAAAGCATTTTTTGGCTGTAATAGAATGCATTAATTGAGCTCAGAAAGTTCTAGCTTGTCAATTTATATTTCTACACATTACTGCTTTATTGAGTTAACAGATGCTCTTGACCTAAAGAGTACTCAAAGCAGAGATTTTAGCTTCTCTTACTTAGTTGGGAGACTCTTAGTATTTTGACAGAATTGGACAATTGGGTTGTTTTCTGTTTCATTAATACTTGGTTCACAAAGATAGCCCCAAAGAAGTCAGTCCTTTTTGTATTCTCAGCTTCTTAAACAAAAGTTTTGATTGAGCTCCTTAAATTGTTTGTTAGATTTCCTAGATTGCTGATTACAATGTTTTTGTCTCTCAAACTTCCATTCTTACTCTGCATTCTATTTACTTGACCTTCGGTTAAGTTAAATGGTCTAATTTTTTTCCCAGTGATGACATGTAATAATATATTTTTCTTCTTTTTTAATAGATTTGGACTGAGCAACAAATTTGAATCAGAATTCCCTTCTTCATTAACTGGAAAAGTGAGTGTCTATCAGTTATTTAGGTACTGTTTATATGCCTCAAACACTAAAGTATTTTCCTAACAAATTAGAAAAAATTTATGCTTGAGACATGTTTATTGACATTAATATTGCAGTGTTGTTATTTCTTAAAATCTTTCTTTAGGTAGCTCCTGAAGAGTTTAAAGCCAGCATCAACAGAGTTAACAGTTGTCTTAAGAAGAACCTTCCCGTTAATGTACGTTGGCTGCTTTGCGGCTGCCTTTGTTGCTGCTGCACGTTAGGTTGCAGTATGTGGCCAGTTATTTGCCTCAGTAAAAGAGTAAGTTCAATTATATATTTTAATTTAAATTTAGAAGTAGACGATCAGTCTTGCATTTATCTAGTTTTATTTTTTGTGTTGAATGAGTCACACTATCCTGAATACAGGGGTGATTAAATAAATGATGTCTACATGCTGTTATATTATATAGCTATCATAATTTTTATGACATAGGAAATTAATAGTAGACTAGAATGCAGCATTCTGTATACATACACTAATGGTAGTATGGTATAGTGATCAAGAATGCTGGGTTCAGGTCTACCACTTAGCTCTGTGACCTCAGGCATGTGTCCTGTCTTTAGACTCTAGTTGACATACCTGTAAAATGTCAGTATTCACCTACCTACTTGAGCAGGATTGTTTGTAAAGCTCTTAGATAAACAGCTAAAAGTAAGTGTCTAATAAATATTGATCAATAGCATTGTTACTAATATGTAAAACAATACCCATTTGATGAAATAAAGTTTCTTTATGTAAATGCTTTTTTCTGTTTGGTAAAATTATGAGGAATTTTGTTTTGTTTTTTGTTGTTGCTGTTTTGTATTTTTCAAGTTTCCCAAGATGAATACATAGTGATTCTGTAATCAGAAAAAATAATCTAAGGAGTCATAATTTTGACTGGTTTTAGTAAAAAATTTCCAAGAGGTGGGTAGAGATAATGGCAAATTAAGTTGAATGCAATGCATTTTTGTTGACGTTCTAAAAAATTGTGGTAATTACATGTATGAAAATGAAGTATTGTTAAGTTGAAATTGAATGGTTTTGTATGGCTCCTTTTCATTTTATTGTTGAAAAATAGGAAATACGGAAAAGCAAATTGTTTTTCCCTTGATTTCTGTTATATAATATTTTAGTGATAGGAAGGAAATAGTCTTGATAATAGAATTTTTTTAATATTTACTGTAATATTTGTAATACTTGGTTTTCTACAAGAATATTTTTCCCCATAGTTCTCACCAGATCATCTTCAGATCATAGACTTTTTAAAATCTCTGCTTTTCCCGAGATGCATAGTTTAACTTGAAGCTTTTATAATTTAGATTCTTGCATCCCTCCTACTGTTTGGATCTTTCCATTGTTTAAATGACTGCTGTATCTCATTGATTGGCAATTTGCTGTTATTTAACACAAAGAATTATAGAGTTTTATTACTGTAGAAATGTGTGATTTTGAGGTTTTGAGGTCTTTTGTTTTCTACTTTTTTAAACAAGATACTTCAGTGTGTGCACAGTGTAGGATTTAGACAACTAAAGTAAACAAAATTAAATTTACTATCTTTCTCCACACATTCTCAGCAACCTAAGGTAATTTTTCAGAGGCTTTGGTTAAGTTCCTTTTTATTTGAGCCATAAGGTAGATTAATGTTTTTTAGACTATTCCCTTATGTAGTTTCAGAAAGTACATTTCCTTTAACAGTGTAGTATTCAGTCTAATGTCTCTCTGTATAAATATGTTTAGTTTTATATGAACTGCTTTGACAAAAAGCTGTGCATTTTGCTGTTGTGGGTGTAAACTATTGTATAACCATAAAGAAAGTGACCCTTTGTGCATGTATTCAAAGTATTAGAGGTCTTGAAAAAGGGTTGCTTTGTAAGATGGGGGCAGGATGATTAGTTTAGAGCTCAGATTTTTAACCTTTTATTTACCATGGACCCCTAGTACTTTGGGGAAGCCTGTGAACCCTTTCTTAGAATAATGTTTTATTTGTATTTTAAAAGATGTAATATGTTCCAAATATATAAAATAAAATACATGGGATTTTAGAGGAAACCAATTATATAGTTGTTAGAATTCTAAAACCCCTTGTATGATTTATAAATGTTTCTTTATTAATACATGCAAAATAAGCAGAAGATCCTAAGTAATATGATGTGATAGGAAAAAGCTTTGATTTCTGTGAGTGATAAAGATACAGGTTCTGTTTAGTCTACCACAGTTAGTTGCATACATTCATAACCTAAGAAAAAATTATGCTAGTTTAGTTAGAGGTTAGTGGAAAATAAAGATATATTTTTGTTCATCAATTTTTATGAACTCTTTGAAATTCTATCTAGGTATTCCATTTTAAGAATCCTTGATTGAGAGATACTAGTATAAATAAAGGCTAAAACTCTGCCTGATTGCCAGCCTCTGAACTTTTCCTTTGTCCTCATTTGTGATTGTCTCAGACTGTAAGATAAATGAGGACCAGAGGTGCACTCTGTATGCAGTTCAGCATTTTCACCTTTCTGACATTATTCAACAGTTTCAATAACTACGTTTCTGCCTTGCCTTTGAAACCTATCCTCAACTGAGTGCCTCTTTTTATGACCTGGTCTTGTTCTGGAGACCTTGTTTTTAATCTGTCCTATTATCATTTTTAGACTTCCAAATTGCTTTTACCTTTTTTAAAAAAAAATTGCACTAGCCTATTTTTGAAAATTATTTAATATATTGTGAAACTCACTCTTCTTGGTGTATAGTTCTGTGATTTTTGACAAATAGAGTTGTGTGAACACCACCACAATCAAGATGCACTACAATTCTCTCACTCCAAAAAACTTCTTGTGTTGTCTTACCCTTTGTGGTTGTGGTCATAACCTCTTTGACTCTTAAAACCCTGGAACCACTGATCTCTTCTCTATCCCTACAGTTTTGCTTTTTCTAGAATATTTTGTAAATTGGAATTATAGAGTATGTATAGCCTTCTGAATCTGGCTTCTTTCATTTAGCTACTACATTTGAGATTCATCTGTTTGTTTTGTGTTTCAATAGTTTATTATTTACTATTTATCAGAAATAGATAATGGATTTTGTCAAATGCCTTTCCTGCTTCTTTAGAGATGGTTGTATGGTTTTTCTTTTTAGTTTAGAAATGTGTCGAATTACATTGATTAAATTTTTGGATGTTAAACCAACCTTAAATTTCAGAATAAACTCCACTCGATTATGTCTCTTTTTTCTTTCTATATTTTTGTTGGATTTGATTGACTAGGTTTGTTTAATTTCACATTTATGTTCACAAGGGATGTTTTTCTGTATTCTTCTCTTCTTGTAATATCTGAATTTGGCACAGGGTAATCATAGCCTCATAAAATGAATTGAGAAGTATTCTCTCCTCTTTAGTTATCCAAAGAGTTTGTGCAAAATATGTGTTATTTCTTTCTTAAATTTTGGAAGATTTCACCAGTGAAGCTGTCTGGGCATGGAGTTTTCTTTGTTGGAAGTTTTTAACTACAAATTCAATCTTTTTAATAGATGTTGGACTTTTCAGGTCATCTGTTTTATCTTGGTTGAGCTTCCAAGCTTGTTTTTCAAGGGATTTGTCTATTTTACCTAAGTTGTTGAATAATATACATACAGTTCATAATGTTCATTTATTTTCCTTTACTATCTGCAAAATCTCTAGTGATGGCATCTTAACTTATTCCTGAAGTTAAATTATTCTTTGTGTGTGTGTCTCTCTTTTTTTTCCCCCCCTGACCAGTCTGGTTAGTGGTTTATCAATTTTATTAACCTTAGAGAGCAGCTTTTGGTTTCATTGATTATTTCTATTGATTGTTTTTTTTTATATTTCATTGGTTTCAGTGTGACTTGTATTATTTTATTTCTTCTTACTTTGGATTTACCTTGCTCCTTCCTTTCTGGTTTCTTAAGATGGAAACAAAGGTCATTGATTTGAGACCTTTCTTCTGATGTTTTAGTGTTATAAATTTCCTTCCCTCGAACTGTTAGTTGTATTGCCCACATTTTGATATGTTATATTTTAATTTTCATTAATTTTACTTTTGTATTTCTCTTTTGATTTCTTCTATGACCAATGCATTATTTAGAAGAATTTTATTTAGCTTCCAAATATTTGGGGGATTTTATAGATACCTTTCTGTTACTGATTTTTTAATTTCATTGTAGTTAGATAATACTTGGTATGTTGTGGATCCTTTTAAATTTATTAAGACTTGTTTTATTACCCAGAATATGAACTGTCTTGGTAATTGATCCTTGTGCACTTGAAAAGAATGTATATTCATCTGTTACGGGGTGGAGTGTTTTATAAATGTCAGTTTTATAAAAGTTTTTTGATAACATTGTTCAAATCATCTATATTCTTACTGATTTTCTGTCTCCTAGTTCTAGCATTTATCCAGAAAGGATGAATAAAGTCTTAGACTTTGTGTAGTTATGGGTTTGTCTATTTATTCTTAGTTTTGTTTCATTTATTTTGATACTCTAAGTAGGTATATAAATTTAACAGGTTTTTTGTCTACTCCATGGATTGACCTCTTCATCTCTAATCGTATTTTTTCCCTGAAATCTACTTTGTCTAATAATAATAGTCATTCCAACTTTCTTTTGGTTAATATTAGCATGTCACAGCTTTTCCATCATTTTAGTTTCAACTTACTTGTGCCTTTATTTAAAGTTCATTTTTTATAAAAATATGTTGGGTCCTGCTTTTTTTATTCAGTCGGATAATCTGTGCCTTTTAACTAGGGATTTTGAAGCATTTACATTTATTGTGATAATTGATATGGCTAAATTTAAGTCTTCTGTTTTGCTATTTTCTTTTCTTCCCAGTTTTTAGTTTCCATTTTCATTTTCTGCATTCTTATTTTCAAAAATAATTTATTGAGGTGAAATTCACATAGGCAGAAATTAGCCATTATAAAGTGGATAACAATTCAGTAGCATTTAGTACATTCACTGTTTTGCAACTATCACATCTGTCTTGTTCCAAAACATTTCCATCACTCCAAAGTAAAACCACTTACCCATTAACTAGTTTCTTCCTATTACCCTATCCCTCCCACCCCTGTCAACCACCAGTTTGTGTTCTATCTCTATGGATTTATCTATTCTGGATATTTTGTATAAATGGAATTATACAATATATGACCTTAATGTGTCTTGCTTTTTTCACTTGGCTTGATGTTTTCAAAGTTCATCCATATTGTAGCATATATTGATACTTTATTCTTTTTATGGCTGAATAATATTCCACAGTATTGTATGTATGT